TATTTAAGTACTTAAGAGAACAGCTTATGACCAAACTGTAGTAAAACTCCAGTGGCCTGGAAGACACGCATTTAAGTTATGGGCTTCCATGTGGTATTTATCCAATTTCTCAAGGACACTTTAAATGTGCTATTAAATTCTCACAGTATTTTAAAGACTAAAACAATAATACTGACCTTTTCATCCATGCAACTTCTGTGGCATGCTGATGGTAAATGAAAAATACAGGCCAGGAGTCTTAATCTGCAGCCATACTCTGCACAAATCCTTATAGTAAAATTGATGGTTTAACAAAGCTACTTAACTATATGAGAATGCTTATAGTGTAAACACTCATGAATGGAACCAATTTGGTTGTCTAAATAAAACAGGCAGCATACAAAACCAGAGATACACATAGTGGGTAATGCAAAGAAAGGTATTGAAGTGCCTCACTGTGTGCAGCAACAGTGCAGATACTGCCACAGAAGGACTAATTGGTTTAGGTCTTGTGTTTTGGGGAAGCTGTTGACAAAGAACCTACGAATAAAAAACAAGGCTGGAAAGGAAGTCTGTTCTCAGTAATAGTGTACCTATGATAAGAAATACTTGCCTTAACTGTTACTAAAGTTCCCAAGTGATGAGGAGTCTATAATCTGCCTTGGTTATTTGTTACATGCTTAGTTGCTCTTTAAACAGGACTCTTTTCTTAATATCTGGTTTATTTGCTGCAAATTAAGCCCATCATTTTATATCCACCCAGAATGGATGTGGAAGATAGATCATTCTGATACTCTTCCCACATTGTACTGAATTTCCTTGTTCATATTCCCTCAATTTTTTTCTTCTGCTAACTAGCCAGTTCTTGTTATCTTTTCTCATAAATTATGCATTCAAGGCACATCTTCATATTTGTTGGTGATCTGGGCTCGCCCTGGTTGGCTCACACCACCCTCATTCACCTTTGTGTATGTCTTGGGGTTTGCCAGGCAAATCAGTGAAATATCAATAATTAACAAGATCTAATATAAAATATTGAAACAATAAGAAAGTTTGTTCACAACTAAAGAGGGAAAATCTGAAACATCCCTTCATTTTCAGTCTGAGTAGATGTAAGTGTTCAATATAGATCTTATCTCTGATCAGCATTTCTTATTAATTTGCTTCCTTCAATAAGAAGAAGGAAAAGGCTGCAAAGAAATTGCAGATTTGCTTCTAGCAAAGCAATGATCCATCAGAAGTGCTGCTGACTTTGAAAGATGAAGAAACAGATTTTTCTCTGTGCCTGGTGCCCTCATGTGGTTTTGATGTTGAGCTTCTTGTGAGTTAATTAAATACATCACTGCATGGCCGACACTTTTGCTGTGTAAAAAGCAGGGAGTAATTTGCCTGTATAGACTCCTACGTTCTTCTGTGCATGCAGAGTCTTCTGGAAAGCCCAAATATGCCATTTGCCATATGGTTTATTGGATTTGGCTGTGAAACCCCTCGAGTTCCCCAACTTAAGCCAAGAGCATTTCTTATAGTTTTCACACGTGGATGTATGTGCTTCAGGCCTTACTCCTCCAGGGGTTGTTATGGCTGAAAAGATTAGTGCTAGAGTTGCTACCTTCTTTAGTGATTAAAAATGCCACCATAGATCTATTGGTGCTTTTAAAGAACTACATTTTTTTTTTTCTCAGCTCTAATTGTTAGGTCAAATTTTTATACTGTATACTGAGCTAAAATATCAAGGATTACTTTTGTCAGGAAACAAAGTTTTAAATGTACTTTCTCAGCTAACTTAAAATTGCCTATTTTTCTTCCAGCTCCAGCATGACAAAGAAATTTCTCTTTTTAATGCTATAAAATATACATATTTTATACAGGATAACTGCTTTGCACAGCACTTCTAGGTCTGTCATTAGAATATTTCTAAATTACTGATCTAGAAATTCCACTTTAAAACACGTCATTTAGCTACAAACATTAGGCAAAAACAAAATTGTATATAGCATATTCATTGCAGGTCCATAAAGTATGATAATAAAACTTTTGCACAAGCACAAGGTGAATATAATTGTTGTGGAGGCTGCTGGTGTAGCTGGCTGCAAGGCCTTTCTTGTACTATGCTTTCTAAAGGTGCTTGTTAAAGCTTTTCTTTACAGCTGGCTCAGATAGATTTAGTAGGTATGCAAATTTTCCTGGAGCTCTAAAAGATTATATGTTTTTCAGAGACTTTGCAGAACTTTAAAACAGCTGAAATTTGAATTTGTCCAGATTTTTTTAGGGAATGGCATAAAATGAAAATTCTGATTAAAGATTCAAAAAAAACCCTTCTTTGTCATCCAAAGTTTGGGAATGAAGATGGAAAAGATCTGAAGTGAAAGCAGCTGAAACCAGGCATATGCTTTTTTGTTAGTATGATTATCTAATGAATATATTCAGGCAAGTAGGTGTGTGGCAGAAGTTGCAGAGCCTTCAATAAAGCTATTGCTGGGAGCACTGTGACTTGTGAATCTCCGTGAGCATCACTTTTCTTTTTCTCAAGCTTTTTGTACAGATTCAGAATTCAGCTGTAACTTTGAGTTATTCCACCAAAAAAAGGTTCCAGACCTTTGAACGGTTCAATATTGTGGCACTATTGGTGGCATCGCCTCTGCCTCCCTCTTCCCTCTTATTTTCCTTTTTCTCTGAAACAGGAGTTATATCAGTGTGCTTCTTTGAATTCACACTATTTAAATTCTTTGCACCTGGGATTCACCCAGTTTGTCTTGGAGCACAAACACTGAACAAAGCAAGAAAGATTTCAGGACAGTTTTTTCTCTGACCTTTCTTGTTCTTGCAATACCTAGTGAAACTTGTCATATTAGTGATGTTATCAACATTTTTCTTGCTAATAATTTTACTCAGAAGTTTCCTGAGCAACATTTTAGTTCTTCTGCTAAGATTTTAGGTAGACTAAGAAATTTAGCATAATTACTACCAAAAATCATGAAATTTTAATACGTTTGAACTATAATACTAGTGCATGTACTGAGATCTTCAGGTTTCATTTTTAAGATAAAGTAATTTAACGGTATACAGAGAAAAATTAATATAAAACAAATCTACAGCTACAGTATTCTAAACCAAAAGGTATTTTTGTACAGCTTCTCAGTCAACAAAATATGCTGTTTGCAGTGCCTTGCAATCCAGCACTGCTGATGCCATTCATTCCTCAGCTGTGTGCCTGTGCTTGCTGAGTTCTACATACCCAGCTTCTCGAGTTAAGGAGGCTCTTGCTTCTTTTGCCTTATCCTCTCGTTGTGTCATATGTGGAGATAAAACTGAGATTTACAGAAATCCACTATAAAATGTAGCAAAAAATCAGACCAGTTCACTGTATGTCTGAGCTGCAAATTCTGATCATAACCCAATAGATGAGTAGTAATACTTGGGTTATAAAAACCTAGCCCGTGGTAAACTAGAAGTAAAGCAGGAGAATAAAAGTGCATAATTCCTTAACCTCATGTTCCTTGATATTTTCCTTGCAGTTTTGATACCTGTTATTGGTGTAAGTAGTGTAATAGTGTAACATTTTTAAAAAGGAAAGAATGTCTTTCATGGTTCATCCTCTATACTGAAAGAGTAGAATTTTTTGCCCTACATTTTTGTTTTAAATACATTAGAATTAGGAATTGGTGCAATATTTTGAACATGATTTTTGGTTCCTGTACCAATAATAAATTTATGAACATAATTTAAGGCTAAAGGTGAAGCTCTGTATGGATGACTTCAAGTCTTTGTCATGTTTGTAAGACATCAGAAAACACAAGATTCACATGAGACTTAGCACTTGTTTTATCTCTGTTCACTGTTTTGGCATCTTTTTGCACATATACATTTATTTTTCTCACATAGTATATTAGATTTTTTTGTGTGTATGGTCTATATAAGCTTACCTGGACATGATTAAACTAAAGGCAATTTCAAATGTCCCATGTAGGTCACTCCTTACAACCCTGTGTATGATTCGCAGTATAAGAATGGTAGAAGCTTAAGTATAAAATTTTACTGTAGTGGAGAAGCAGAATGTTTTTAATGTTTATTAGTTTAATCAAGAAAGTGAATACACTTGGACAAATTAAAATATCTAATTATTTATTCACATAGAAACCAGTAAATTTTAGAGTTTGTGGCACAAACCTTTTCATTAAAAAAAGAAAACAAGCTATGCCATATAGCTTCTTTGTTCTCAATAAAATATCATAATTGCAGTTAAGATTACAGTAAAAGTGTAACATTCCGGATTACATAGTTTGGAGCACAATGTAATGAATATAATGAGAAAATCCTTGTCAGAAACTTTACCACAAGGAAATATCAATAACTAACCATATTTTCCAACTAGAAATCAAGAATATTTAAGTAGATCTTGGCATAAAAGGCACAAAACACAAAGCAAAGCATGCTTGTGTCATTTGTCACGAAGAAGCATTGACATTTGTGCAACATGGGAAAAGATCAGCATTTTTCCAGACTCTTCCAATATCATGGATACATAGGGAACAGATCTTCCCCTTAATGCCAGTGTGTCACTCTCATCAGGCACAGATGGCAGTGACAAGAAGAAAGGAGGAGTAGATAGAATACATCCTTGCCCTCCAAGGAAATCTTAGCTCATGTATGGAGGGAGCTGCCGCTGTTGTGTTGTTAGTAGCAAATAACTACACTGCAGCCTTTTAGTAATACAACCCCTGGCAGGTAGCACTTGTGGGAATTAGGTAAGACTGGTAAAATGTTTACAGTGCTGGAAACCCACATAAATGCAGGCTTACCACCTCTGTTTAAACGTGTGATGCCAGCTCCCTCTTTGCTCCAAATCTTTTTTCAGAAAGTCCATGTCCTTGAAAGAAGAGACTGTTCAGAAGACCCTGCTGCCTATTGCACAGAGGAATGGCTTTTCTGATTTAAGGTGCTTCAGAAACACAAATCAAACATCCCTGTTAATGCCTTCTGCAATGGGCCATCATGCAAGAATCTTTCTAGCAGCCTATTTGTTATATTTCTATGACAAGCCTATCTTCATCATCACTGCTAGTGTCGTCATATTCAACTCTGGTTTGCTTCCTCATCATCTCTAAACCTCTCTTCTTGTATGTCTTGCAAGGTGCTGCAGAGCAAGTCTCGAACTCTGAGGACCTGAGAGTAAGTGGGGGCTTTTTGAAGGTAGCAGTAGTAGCTGTGCCATGCAGCCTTCTGTAGCTGCCAGACTGCAGGTGAGCTCTGTTCGTGGCTGTACTTCCCTGAAGGTCAAGGACTTTTGGAGAAAAGTTTGCCCCTTCTGTGTATTCTATACTGGGTAATGTAGCCCTTGTGGCTGACTCAGGAAGAGACTCTGGTTTTGATCTGAATAAATGTGAGCATCCGGGCTGTGAACTTGGAGTTGAGTTTTCTTTTGAAGATGAATTTGTGTTTCCTTCAGCTGGAGGTTTCTCCCTTCCCGAGGTCTGGATCACCAGCTCTAATGTACCAAATCTTTGACGCTCTGACTCCACATTTAGGATGTTTCCCTGACTGGCTTCTAGATGTAAGGGGAGAGGACCAGTAGTCTCTGAGGTTGTGCTGTCAGACTGGTCACCTATGCCTGTAAAATCAGAAGGGCAAGACCAAAGAGCAGATGCCATCGAGTCACTCGGGGTGTTTGGCTGTGACTCCCCTGGCACCGATGGCTGACGCACAAGTGGTTGTGTCACTAAGCAGCAGATCTCCACATCACTGCTGACTTGCTGCATGGCTGTAGTAAGCGTGGATGGAAAGGAATGAGCTGTCACAGATATTTCCAGAGGAGCTGTAATGTTCTGAAAAGAGAATTTTGTTCTTGTGTGTTCACTGATTTGCCCAGAAATGTCCTGTGAAAATGAGGGGGGAGGGGGGAAAGTTTACATTTAAAATTTTCAATCCAGAGCAATTCCATCCTTCAGGAAAGTGCAATGATAACTAAGCTGCCTGTATCAGCAGAAAACATTTACCTCTGCTATAACTCATACCAACTCATCAACTCATACCAAACATAATGTCAACCTTTATTTATACAACTGCAACTATATATGCACTCTTTTTTTTTTCCCATTACTGCAGACCAAGTGACTCATCCCTCTTTTGATGAGAACTTTTTTTTCCTCCCAGTGTGAGGGGGAGGTGTAGTAAAGGATGTATTTTTTCCTCTTTTTTTTTTTTTCCCTTGGGTAAGTGACAGACCATGCTAATAATTTATAGATGATAAGGGGTTAGGGAGCTCAGGCTGCATTCTTATGTACTGTCTAGGATGATGGTCTTTTCATTAAGGTATTTTAATATACATATTACAGTGATGTTTGTGCAATATAGGGGAAAAGGTTTGTGATGAATCTGTAAGAAATATTACAACATCCGAGGTGGTGAGATGTGTGTAGGAGATAAAATTGCTTAGTAAAAAAATGTTTTAAGGATTAGGTTCCTAAATATGATGCTGCTTATGCTGCACAAAGAACCACACTGCTCATGCCATGTAACAGCAGCCTGGCTCAGCAGCTTTTCGAGGGTGGCAGTCCAGGGAAAGGTGTAATTAGGGAAGCAGAGAATCCTCCCAGAAGCTGTGCCGAGGCTCCGTGCGCCAGTGCAGCATGTGCAGTGGGTTCAAGGTCCCTTCCAGCTAGTGCAGCTCCTGGTAGCACTGAAACCACAGCCACCCTGGCTTCCACAAAGGGCTGAGGAAATTCACTCGTGATGCTCCTCCTTCCCACCCACAGCTGCGTAGCCATTACTACCCTCTCTGCTCTGCTGGTTTCAAGCTTACTGCCTCTGTTTCAGGGCACTCTGTGCTGCACCTACTGGCACCTCCAATTAGCATCAGTGCTAATTGATCCCCTGACAGCAAGCATGAGAAAGCGCCTTTTCAACTGATGCAAATTCAATTGTTCTGCTAAAAGTCTAGTTATAACATTACTAAGTTTTCATCATATTTTAATGCCAAAAATGCCCTGAACACATTTTTAAACAAAATCTGTGGTACAAAGTAGTATCAACTTGAATTTTAAAACAGCTGACTATAATTCAAATTTTAATTACCAATATATTTTTTTTTTACTTTTTCTTTAAAGTAATACATTGTAATGCAATACCTACTTTTTTATCTGTTTTGTCTTTTTGTTTAACATGGTTTAGATTTTCAGGATGGGAAGATATTCCTGAGTTATTCTTTCCTTCTTTTTTCCATCTGCAGAGTGGCTTGTCTGAGGTGCAACAAGATGGGTCTTTTTGCTGGTGTCGATAATTCTCTATTGAAAAGAGGTTAAAGAAATTTTTACTTTGATTTTTAATCTCCCACATGCTAGAAGTTACTAAATAAATCATAACACTGAACTAGCATCTATGTTTTTATTATTTTAGCTAAATTTTTATTCTAAGCCTGATATATTTTTTCATTTACTTATATATGTTTGGCTTTGGTTTCCTTTTTATTGGCCATTACTTTCCTGCAAAGTAATAGCTGTTCATACCTGCTATGAACAAACACAAGGTATCGTCCCTGCTTCCAAGATGGTTGTGGTATAAATACCATTTGCATTAATACTACTAATTAAATGCCATAGAAACACAGAAAGCAAGTCAACACACCAAACTCACTTCACACTGCAAACATACAATCTTGTTTCAGAAACAAACAAAAAAAAGATTCATCTAAAAGTTTTTCAGGCTTCCAGCAGAAGGTTATTTTGAGGTTCTTTTTTTTTTAATGACCTCCTCGTTGTCAAATTCACATATGCAAGCATGTGCATGAAAACCATTGTGTGTTCAGTTCTGCAAACGTGTGAGAGGGTTGTATGTTTGCTCACAGAAGCTGCTGAAGGGCAGAAGTGGGTTTGCAGCTCCATGTGGAACAGGTGCACATCAGAGACACTGCTAATGTTCATTCTCTTAAAAAATAAACACTCAATACGTTAAAAAAAAAAAAACAAACTTACCTTGTACCTTTGATTGAGGAGAATGGCACTTCTTATACTTATTAAATTTGCAGGGTGGTGGCAGATAGCCCTTTCTCACAGCATCCAGTGTTCTCTCTGGCAAGCAGTGCCGCTGGCTCAGTCGGTGGATCTTCAGCTGAGCACATCCGTGTGCGTGCCTCCCTCTGCACCTGCATGGCCAATGGCATTGAAAGGGTAAACAAACATGGGCCTTTTAAAAGCAGACAGAGCAGAATACCACATGATCAAGTAAATTTAAGTCTAACAGCAGTTCACTACTGTGAAGGAGATGTTTGTTTATGTCAAAAAAAACCCAAAAAACAACCAACAAACAAAGAAAAAAACACTCCAGGACTTTATGCAAGATACCCACAATTATTTTATTAAATTTTTCCTTAGTACAATTCAGTAAATCCTTGGTTTGCTTAGACAAAAGGATTCAGGAATAACAGATCCTTCTTCCTATTTTAAAACTACTTACTTCATAAAGATCTGAACTGCACAGGAACCACCTGAGGCTGCAGAGTTGTTTGGTTTACTTTTCACTTCTGACATGCTACCTATTCATCATTACTAAGGAACAACATAAATATTTCAGTTATTTAGAAAACTCACACTGAATAGTCCAGCCCTGCTTTGTTTTCTACTCTAGCTAGATCTTTCAGATACTCTTAATGATTGAGACTAAAGGATGTTGGAAGGTCCCATTCCTGTACCAATACAATCAGTCACTATACACAGTGTAATAAGTAAATCTAAAAGAGCATGCTTATTGAGGTATTTGGGGTATTAGAAAAATATATTATATTTCATGATTAGCAGTTTGCCCAGTTAGCTACTGATATGTATGACCTGAACTTTCAGAACCTTGTACTTAATTGAGCCCCTGTACTTACTTGATATAGCCAAATAAAGAAATTCTTAGGGCAGCAGGGAAAACAACAACAACAACAAAACCAACACCACCCAAAAACCAAAACAGAAAAAAAATCCTAAAAGAATGTCACTAGACCAGATCACATAGACCTGAGGCTTCTATTTTTGTTCTCATGAGCCTTCAAAACTGCAGTGCTGTTTGCTGAGCTAGACACAGTGACTGAGTTACTGGCACTGCTTTGTCCACAGGGGAGTCGCACGCTCTGATTTTGGTCATGCAATCAAGAGTGATGTGTGCACACAATATGTGTTTCTTATTGAAGCAATTCAGCAGACATTCTGCAGCCCCACACTCTGGAAATATTGGAGGGTAAATCTTCCACTGATGTGAGCGCCCATTAAACATGGAGAAACTGACACAATGTGCCTTTGATAGCTTTATACTCAAATTCTTCCAGCTTTTTCTTTAAACTGAATGATCCTTTAAACTACAGATGTTTTTGTTAGTTTGTGTTAGAACTTGATACTTATTCTTTTGCATTCCTTTCTGAATACAAGTTTAGGATATAGATCTGCTGAGGACAAAAGGGTCTCGTACGCTGCTTTTCGCTGTAACAGGATTAAAAGCTGAAGTATTTTGGTTCCCTTCAAATAAAAGTAAATGCTGACAATTTTGACAGAGAAGAATAATTTCTAAAGCATAGTGAGAGTCAACTGACCAGCCATCATCTTTCTTCGGGATATGTCTATTTTACTTAGAAAAGTTTGTTCCTGGTAGTAAACAGCACACTGATATTTTTATAGCTTACCTTTGTGGAGCTGCAGCAATGTGGGAATAGCTCTTTCTGAGTGATTGGTTTTTTTCCTTTATTTGACAAGCTTGAATTTTGAGGATTACTTTTTTTTGTCCTGTGGACTTTTTACACTCATTTTAGCAAAATTATGTCTGTATCTAGGGAAGCTGAAATCCATATTCCTTACCATTTTGGTGTGATTTTAATCTTTTTCTGTTTGTGGACCCTCTTGAGTTTATTTGTTGAGAGTTTTTCCTTTTTGCAAACTACTGTCTTCTTCTTTTGCTCTGAAATATTTTTGAAAGCACCACCAGGAGCTGCTGAGTTTATCTGTTGAGAATATTAGAAAAAAAATCAAGTAGGTGAAAACTGTGAATTACATTAACTGGGAGATTGGAAATCTATGCTCTTTTGCAACAGCACTGAATAGCATAGTAGTTAAATAGCACAACTCTGAATTTTTCCTTGAGTTTGTGTTAGTTTTTTTCTAATCACTTTGTCCATCTACTTTTATAAAATAAAATAAAATAAAAGGACTTGCTGCTTTTGTGGATCTATATAGAATTAGTGTATATTGTCATATTCTTTCTATATAAAAAGTAAGCTTAGTCCTACAGAACTGTTCTAGGATCTGTACAGATACAGATTACTCTGCCTTCACTTACCTGAAAAAGAAAATCTTTCAAGCCTTAAGCACTACAGGGTATTAATACACTTTGGTCTTGTTGGCATTTCAGTGTATCCAAATGATGAGAGATCTAGTATGCAGTCTGACTCCAAGTATTTCAAAGTATGATGAAGTCTTGACATTAATGGTCTACTTAAATCCTACTCTAATTCAGATTTTCATTTAAAATGAAGACAGTAAAATGCATATGCTGTTACAGAAAAAAATAGAAAGTATATAGGGGAAAATTCAAGAGATAGAAATACCCTTTTCTCACTAGAGAGCATTCCTACTGAAATTCTCAAGCGAAAGAAATTTAAATATTTACACAAAAGTGTGTATTTTTCATGCATCAAATGAATATGTGACTTAGCTTGTAAAAACATTAAATTGTAAATTCTGTATCAACAAATGCCCGTAAATGTCTATAAATACACTTTGGATTATTCTTTTCTAAGAAAGGTGGAGGGGCGGAGGTGTCAGCCAATGACACCTTTTTGAGAAAGGAAATAGGATTGTTAATATTACCTCCTGCATCTGTTGTCCTTTAGAAAAGGATGGCACCAATGTCTCTAAACTCCTGTTTGTCAAGCCATATGCCACAGTCTTGTTAATATTTTTCATTTTGAGAATAGAGACATCATATTTTGACAATGCACATTCCTTGCTAGATTCCTTGTCCGAGGTGTGCATGGAGGAGTAAGCAGAGTCTGCACTCCCCTTCTGCTCAGCAGGCAGAGGAAGGCTTCTTGCTAAACAACACCACGTTAATTGAGGTTCAGCACTTAGTGATGGGAAGGTGTTCTGCTTGCTTGATGCCATTACGCCTCCAGGGTAGCCAGTCAGAGTATCGTGGGATAGCACTGGGAATTCTTTACAGTGATTGGTGAGACTGTGGCAATAAAAAGTGCCAAAAGAATGGCAAACATAAGTGGGGTTGTCTGTTGAGGTCCAAGAATGTCGAGTATCCTGCAGTGTTGGTGAAATGTTCTTAAGAAGGCAGGGACTTCCCCCTTGGTCCCATCCCACGAATGTTGGCTCTACACCCCTGCTAGAGGCTGACATCATTATCAAAGAGTCACTTCCTGAGCAATGATGATGTAAAACCTTTTTCTCTTCTTTGATGTCAGTTGATATGAGAAAACCACTTGTATACGCAGAAGTAAAGTGTAATTTCTTAGCTGGGCTCTGTGCAGAGGAAGTAGTTATGCTCGTCCACTTCTCTTCTGTTTGCCTTTGATAATTCAGCTTATTTTTATTCTGTTTGTTTTTCCAGGTGTCTTCTACAATATCCTGCTGCCTGACATTTTGGTTAGTAAAGGTGTTATCTGCTGTGGTTAAGATATTCGTTGTTTCTGAATTGACTGGTGAACAAAACACTGGAGCTCTCCAGTTTGTGTGTATGACCTGTCGTAGCTCTGCTTTGCTGGGCTGTTGTCTCACTTCAGATTTTAAAGGGGACCAACACAGATCATGAGGATGAGAGCTGAGCGACCCGCTGTTGGCAGGGCAGAGGGGGTTGGTTAAGGTGTCTGTCACAGATGTGCAAGGTGTAGCCTTCTGTTCTGATCTCAGCAAAAGTGACAAATCTGAGGCTGTCTTGTCTTGAGGCAATTTTAGGATATATTTTGGAGGAAAGGCATTTTGTTGTGGGACTGGAGGCAAGTGATCAAATTGCAGGTGATGGGTATTAGAAGACACATCAACAGCATTGTCACTGAAAAGTGGTACTTTTGCTCCTGTTTTCACAAAACATGTTTTGACAACTTTATCTGTTGCATTGTGCACGTCAAAAGAGTTGCAACCACTTCCCCTTACTTCAGGCCCAACAAATCCAACATATGAAGCCCTTGAGATACCTACTGAATGTGAGGGAGGGTTAACTCCACTGTAATTAAGTGCTTTTGTGAGGAGTTTGGTTGTTTTCATACAGTCCACATTCTCAGTACCTCCAGTGGTTTCATTAATTCCTTTGCTTGCTTCTTGCTCCTCTCCCTTACTGGAGGATTTCACTGGTGCTGTGGAAGGACACTGAGTGCTAGTGCAACAGACTCTCTCTGCTTCATTTACTGCATTGTTTTCACCATTGGAACTAGGACAGGACTTTGAAATAATGTTTTGTGACTTCTCCACTTCAAATTTTAGCTTTTTTCTTTCTGATGGTAAATTCTGGAATTTCCCTGTGGCTTCTCTGTTGTTGCAATGGACCCATGGGGGTGTCAGGGCATGCTGGGCAGTGTCCTTATTCCTACTGTGGTTTCTGTAATTGTCTGGAGTGCTTTTGCAATCTGATCCCAAAGTACTGGATTCCTTCCCAAGGCTTGGGGTTTTGCATTTGCTACTCTGTGCTGGCAAGCAGTCGTCATTCCTTCTGCTAGTGTTCAGCTGACACGGAGTGCTTTCAGGCCTGAGCTCACACCTGCTTGGAGCCAGCACTGTGCTGTTGCCAGCTGTGTGTTTATCTGTGTCACTGCCACAGGGGTCTGGGGACGTTTTGCTCCTTACAGCCTGTGCATTAGCGTTTCCTGAACGAGCTGGCTCCGTCAGGTAAGTTACACTGGCTGCAGTTTCCTCAGGGGACACGTTCTGGAGAAGATGATTACCATTGGTACAGGTTTCTGATTTACCAGTGTTTAAACCTGTTGTCATGAGGGAGGAACTCCTGCCATCTCCTTCCTCAGTAATCTCAGTGCTGCTGACTGACTGCTTTGAATCAGGACTGAGGCTTGTAGTACCTATAATCTTATTCCCCTTTTGTTTCATTTTCTTGGCATTTTGACTGCTTTTCATTTTTTGGTAGATTTTCTTAAATGTGTCATCTCCATACATTTGCCATTTTTCTTGGGAGAACATCTTTAACTTCCTTTGTTTCTTATTTTTGGCACTGATTACCTGTCCAGCCTCAAGCTTTTTGCTGCCTTGCAGCTCCTCTGATGGAGGAGGATGATCGACCACGTTACTTAGTGGCAAATCATCCACTGCTGTTTGTCTGACAAGAGCTCGGGGATGGCTGTTAGGAAAATCCACTGAATTTGCAGCAAGATTGTTGCTAGGCAGCAAAGGAGCAGTGCCTGTTTTTACAGACTGCTTAGTAAGAGAAAGTGGTTTTGAGCAGCCTGCTTTGTCATGTACCATCCCTGTGCCCTCCACGAAGGGCAGGGAGTTACTGCGTGTAACAGGCACGCTATCGACTGTTGTGGAGAACTGGGTGGGAACTGAATGGAAAAACACTGCCTTGCATTTTTCTAGGGGTGCAAAAGTAGATTTTGCTGAATAAAGGGGAAGATTCTTTTTCCTATTCACATCACAAGTTCTCATGTCAAAATGGAAAGAGTCTTTGTATGTATAAGGCATTGGCAGATCAATGCTCCCCTGCTTGGAAAGGACGGTTTTTCGGGGCCTAACATTGTCTAACTGGGTATCATCCACCACGCTTTTGTTATGAGAAATAAGTTTTGAAATGTGTTCTTCCAGCCTCTTCTTCTCTAGCATCAATGCTGTAGCTTTCTCAGCTGCATCCAGCTTTGTGCTGCTGCCAGAGGAACATCTGAAGCTGCTGAAGGCAGTTTCATTTTCCAGCTCTGTGCTGTGTTCATGGAGACTGTGCAGCGGGCTGGGTGATGCCATCTGTTGTTCTGTGCTGTCAGAGCGTGACAGATACCCTGAGTCAGTGCTCTCACACTTCTTTAGCTTGCAGTCAAATGGCTTGCAATCCCACTGTTTTTCTGAAGAGGTTGCTTGCTGCCTTTGCAATGGCATATGCTTATTGGCAGTCGGAGTTCTTTGCTCCTGTATCTTCTTCCTCTGGCACTGACCATTTGGCAAAGCTCCTGGAGATGATAAACTTTGAGGTTCTCTTTCAGGAACCACCTGATTAGCCTTTGAACTAGAAGCTAGAGTGGTTGTTTCTTGATTTTCTGAAGCAAATGATGAATTGCTTGTTGTGGGCAGTGAAAGGTCATTAAGGATTTTCTTAGTGTCTGTTACAACACTGGGCTCTGAGCTCATCTCTTGCATCTGTACCCGCTTGTCTTCAGAGGTGCCACCGAGTCGTTTGCTGCCTTGATGGCAGGTGATGCTTTCTGCTGATTTCTCATTTTGCTCCAATGTGGCACTGTTTTCAGAGTCTGAGGGCAGTCTGGCATTGTTGACGTGTGTCTGAGTTCTCCTGTGTTTATACAAATTGCTTTGGGTTTTAAATGCAATACCACAAGTGGTGCATGGAAAGGGCCTCTCTCCCGTGTGAGAGCGAATATGTTTCTCAAGGACACTTGGTTTCAAACAATCTCGTCCACAGTGTTTGCAGATATATTTCCCAGCTTTCTTTGGTTTTCCTGGGCTTCCAATAGAAGCATTTACACAAGAACTCGGTGATGATAAAACTGGTAAAGTGCTCACTATGTTCAATGTTAGAGTTTGCCCAAGTTTCTGAAAAACTGGCTGAGGCTGATCTGTGCCTTCCGAGGGAACAAGTGGATTCAGGATTAGAGGTATGTTACTGCTGTCTAGATTGAGACAGCTCCTGCCAGTCACTAACTGACTGTTTGGCTGAAAGCATCCTGCCTGGACAGGCTGGTACAGTGGTATGGTGAGGGCTTTTAGATACACAGGCTGGGACAGGGCTTGTTTCTGCTGAGGAATCACGCTGCCTTGGCTGAGATCTGAGGAACCCTGTGCAGGCTGAAGAGAAGATGTTGGAACTGGTCGATCTGCTAGTGCAGTTGTAAAAGCAGGCTGTTTCTGTGCCTCCATTTCAAAGGTTATCTGCCATAGGCTCATCTGTAAAGGAGGGGAAACAAAACAAGTAGGAATCTTCAGATAGAAAGCTAAACACTTTCAATTGCTGTACTAGGAAAGCTAGCAATTAAGAATATCACAAGTCTTATATAGAAGCATTATACAGACAATAATTGTTTCATTTTCCAGTTACATTGATCTTCCATCTCTTAGCTAGGAATTAAGGTCCATTACAGTATAAAGAACATTGAACTTTGCACTTAAAACCTACAATAAGCACTCAAAGTATCAGAAATCACTCTGAGTATCAGATTTGCAAATGCAGTCTCTCAGCACCCCAGGAGTAATATGTTTAATTTTCTGGAACCATATTCCCATTACATATTTGTACTATGGTTTTTAATTTAATGATATTTACATTAATAAATGTAAATATAGAAGCACAGAACAATTGAGGTTAGAAGGGACCTTGGGAGTGCCTCTGCTCAAAACAAAGTTAGCACTGAGGTCAGGGGAGACTGCCCAGGGTGTTATCCAGTCTGGTTTTGAAAACCTCTGAGGATAAAAACTGCACAGCTTCTTTGGGCAACCTGTCCCAAATACAGGATGTCAAGCATGGCTGCATATTATCCGTGTTTACACAGATTTATCTGTGTTTAGTGAGCTAAGGCTAAATACATTGCTACAAGTGATGCAGAATGAAAGCACGTGAACAAAATGAAACTGATGTCTTGTTTTACAAGAGAGATTTACCACAATATGTAAAAGTAGAAAAGATGGTATCACAGGAAAACAGTGGGATAAATTACAGCTGTCTTTTGTGTAGCCTAAATTAATTTTGTCTCATTAAAGGTGATATTCTAGCATCCTGCTAATTTTTAGATGCTTTCAGTGCCAGAAGAAAACATTTTGTAAACACAGTTTTTGGAAAAAGTGACCTTATTCTTATGAAATCTGTCCAAATATATTCAGGGTTGGTGCTGGCCCAGACTACTTATTATTTTAACAGAAATTTGTCTTGTCTTCTTTTTCTTAGAAACAAATTAGCAAACTGTCAAAATAAGCTAATGGTGAATATCTTCAGAAGAGCTGATAGGGGCATCAGCATAACCTCTTGTAATTATAGTTTGGGTGAAAATTAGGAGGTGATCTGTGAATGTTCATTCAAATTTTTTCTCAGCTATGCTCACAGCTCTGTATCCATTGGCTGTTATAAATCATTGGCTTTTCTTGTGTGGACAGATATAAACCCCCCATTTGAAGTAACATAATCAGTGGCTAAATGTGTAATCTGCAATTTGTTGCTTTTCTGCATAACCTGTAGTGGTGTTTCTGTACCTTCCTTCTTCAAAGCAAAATCTCTGTTGCATGTAGTTACTGAGAATTTTGCAAATAATTAACATAAAGGAGAAGTGGCAAACTCAATGTAATTGTTTTTGAGTATTCCTCAGTTACTGTTAGAGCAGTTAATAAAGCAAGTAATTTAGAGCAGTTAATTAGGAGCTGGTAAGTGGATATAAAGGTGGATGGAGATCCAAGAGAAGTTCTTTTACTTCTCAAATGAAAAAGATAGTGTCTCACTCACAGCATATGAAAAAATGGGAAAATGACTTTCTGTTAATGATCAAATGGAACAGGTTAAGGTCAATGAGTTATGTACTCAGTAATAAATGTAATTAGCATCTTAATTGAGTAGGAATTCAGGTAATTTTCATATTAAATGTATACACCACTGAAACTGAAAGATAAAGCAACACTCTTGGTGATCAGTCTTCCGCAAAGGGAAAGGTTTTGCATATCAGGATATTGCCTTTAATCAACTAATTATTTTATCTCTATATGTATTTATTACAGTGCAATTGTAGATACTTGTATTCTTGAGCAACAGAAGACTAATGCACCAAGGACTCAGCAGCTATTACTCTGTGCTTCCCACCCTGCACCGTGTCTGGAAGTTCTGTTGCTGGATGGCAACTTCCGTTTCACAGCAAAGGGTTCTTGCAGTTTCTCTCTGATCTGCTTTGCTTACTGCAAGAACTGGAGAACTGGAGAAAAGACAGTGATGCAGACCCAGGGATGTGCTCTCTGAATTTCCTTCTGGTCACAGGCCAGGCCTTAGCTTCCTGCATGCATTACATGCAGCAGCCAAACTGCTGATGAGCCACTGGAGTAACTGAGAAGCTTGCTACCCACTGCAGTGAGCTCAGGGTTGGTTAGACCATTTCTGGGATAGGTATCAGGGCCTGATTGTCTTCACCCAAAGATTTTAGTGTAGTAACAATCTCAGAAAACAACCTGTAAAATGAACTGATCTGCCCACAGCAATGTGTTAGAGTTTGCATCTTCTCCTTTCACCTGAATTTTATAAATCAAAAGCAGTTATCAAGCACAGACTTTTTTTTGTCCACTGAAATCCAGAGATTTCTACATGGAACTATCACTTAAGGGGCTTTGTAATATAGGTATCAACTACATTGATGAAAGAATGTTTAAGAAATATGGCTTGTTAAAGGCATTAAGTTATCCATATTCTACAGTGTGGTTTACACTACAGGATAGAAGTGGGTTTTTCTAATTTGCAAAGTGAGGTTCCACACATTTCAAATCAGTTAAGACAGTTCTTAAGCTATACAGCCATCTTTATTTACAGCAGTTTAAACACAGCATACAGTAAAAACAGCAGCAATGATACGATATTTCTTATATATAGAAATGATACTTTATAACATTGATATAAAGAAATTATACCAATGATACTCATAAAATGAGCATGCGGTAGTTTTTCCAAAGATGTGAAAATAAAGAAGAGCAGAGGGTGGGGGAAATGCTGCAGAGACAAGACTTAAAGAGGAAAAGTGAAGAGTGAATACTGTGTGGCTAGAACATCTGAAAAGTACCACATCAGATGAAACAAGTCAGTGTCAATGCTCCCTTCCTTCCGCTGGGGAGAGGTGTGGAAATGCAGCATTTCACATTTCCACCCCAACCACCCAGCTCCAGTGTCTCCAACTGTGTTCTCTCTTTGAACATCCTCACGCACGTGCAGAGCTGATGGGCCCTTCAAGGCCAGCCTGTGTGTTAGTAGGACTTGCAGTGGACGTGTGTTTTCAATATGAATCTTGTAATTCCAATGTACCAGACTCTGTGTAATTTCACTTAGTCTGTGAAGTTTCTGGGGCTCAAAACACAGTTTAATTCTGAGAATCATTTCAGTGCTCTGTAATGTTCAGCAAAGAAAGTACCTAACTGGGTACAGAAAACTTGAAGGAAAGTTTTAACTAATGGCAAACAATTAAACTAAATGGCGACACACAATCTCATTACTTTTAAGAGTTTCATAATACATTTCTACCAGGTGTGGTAGTTTGCTCCTTTACACAGCAAACAAAAGATACTTTCTTCCTAATTGAAACTTCTGTGGCTTGTTTTCTGCTGTGGCAACTACAACATACTTTTCACATCTGTCATTTATATACAAAACAAGTCCCTGTATTTCTTTGTACATTGACAGAAATAGCTTATTCTAACTAGTTCTACCCCAAGGGTAATTCTGCATAGTCCTTGTCTAAAGTAGAAAAAAATCCTTTGTTTATTATCCCCCAGGCTCTGTTATTGAGCATCTGTCTGATGTTCTGAGCTCAACTGGTAACTTGTGGCATTAAACTACTAGCATAAAAACTTGATCCTAATTGGATGAGAAAAAATTTGCAAAAACAAAACTAAAAGCAAGATTGGGCCAGTCCAAAATTTTCTAAATTAGTGTCTTAAGCTATCAAAACTGGTGAGTAGAATTCCATTTAAATGCAATTATTTTGTTCCTAGCTAGACTTAGACCTTCAGGTACACACCATAGGTGGGTCTGTGGAACACCGAAAAGTCAAAATGTGGGTTAGTTTCAGACAACAAATCAGCATAGCAGAAACAGTCTTATTCTAATAAGGAGGGTGGTATAAAACCCCCTCATTTTAAATCCAGTGTGTTCCTCTTTTCTATAAAATTTTTTTCCTGAATTCCAAATATATTTTATAAAACTTGCCTCATTTTATCAACACTATTATAGTAATCTTGGATTATACAACCACTTTTGTTTTTTACATGACACACGTAAGTGCACTGTCAACTGCCCATCGTTATTAATAAATTCATTAAATAAACATGTAACTACTTATTTCCTGCACTAACATATGGGTTTTTTACACACTATTGAGGGGAGCAACACAGTCTGTAAGCAGCTGCAGTGCTCGGTCTCTGGCCTTGGTCTACAGGTGTCATCTGCAGACATGACGGAGTTAGTTTACTTTGGTAACCACACAGAAGCAGCTTTTCCAGGTTATGAACATACATAGTATGCGATATTACACTAAAAGTTTTTACCTGGTTTTTTAAAGCTTTTGGTGATCCCTACCTTAACTGTAACAGCAGAGGGCATACAGAAGTGGAATAGTCTTTAATCTGTAAATAATTTTAGCTCACGTACCTTTTACCGAGCCAAGCATTTCAGCAAAAGAAGTCTCACTTCTGTAATGCCTGATGCAAGCAGAGAGAAACGAGGACAAAGACCTGAAACAGATCAGAAGTAGGAAGTTGGGTTTTTCTTTTTTTTTTTTTTTTTCACATGGGTGTCACAGTAACAACCTTCAGAAAACAGGAAGAGCTGAAACAGAAGAAAATGAAGTAGTATTTCAATCTCTTCATATCCGTTATCATTATTCATGTAGAAATATATACACAGAATCAGCTGTCTTTGAAATGCAGAAATTCAACTGCACCATTCAGCAAAAGACACTGACACAATGATGGCATTTTTTTCTTTATACCCCTAGAGGTAATTTGCTTATAACTTTACAGTAAAGGTCTCTTAAAATGTTGTGGAAAAGAAAACAACGGTGGAGAGAAGACACTTGCTCCATATGAAATGCTAAACTTACCCTGCTTGGGCATTACCCACCAGCTTCTCCTTATAGTGCCCTGTGGCAGGGCAGAAAGCAGTAACCAGGAGGGGAGGTACTTAAAGA